TGTACAGAAGATCAGACTTAGATGATCATGATGGACCCTTCTGGCCCTAAAGTCTATCTAAATGATTGTCATCTCATAACAAGTTCCCACCCCCCTCTGCCTTTTATGGTATTTGATAAAAGACGTAGAGGAGGTGACCAGGCAAATCTCACTAACAAATGGTATAGTATTTAAACAGATGTTAGTTTGTATTCTACTATCATCTTCACCATTTGATAATGGTCAAGTTTTGTGTTCTAGATAGTCTGTGGGAGATGTTGTGCAAAGGAGGGGCAGTATTCCTTTTCCTTTGCCCATAAAGAGCAGTAAATATTGTGTGTTGGTTTAGATGTGCTGGGATCATGTATAGAAAAAATAAATGAATACCATATCAAATTGGGGGACAGGAAATGAAAATTAAACAGGCTTCCAGCACTACTTGTTCTCAAATTACTAATCCCTTCTTCTGGATTTTGGGCTTACTGGACTCAGCTGTTGCATGAATACCACTATCAAAGCATACTCTGTAATTAAAAACGTTTATATTTACAACTGCCCTGAGTTTGAAGTCTGAGCCAGTCAGAATGGTTGCAGGTGTTCTAGTGACTCTGACATCAGTAATGAGCAGATAGATATCCCTCTGACTCCTATGTAAATCATATTCCTTGTTATTAGTGACTCTGAAAAGATGATTGATCTGCTTACTCAAATTTGACTTTCTCTCCCCCTCACAGTCTCCCCTTCTTACAATTTTGTCAAAAGCACATGCTTTTTTGTTAATTTTAGCTTGAAAAATCCAGCCTATATGTGAAACTCTTGTACTGTGGCACCCAGATACTATGGTGATGGCATTTTAGAATTACATATGAGTTTATTAAAAAGCAAAACAAAAGTGGCAACAAGCATGTGGGAGGCTATTTAAACTCTGAACATTATTGAGGGTGCTAGCACAAAGGTGACTTGCAAAGGAAAAGAGGTGCCCTTTTTTCTTTAATGGAACTTTTCAGGTTTCTGTCACTTCATAAAACTTTCTCTTTCTCTCTCCTGCCCTCATCCCACCACCCCCGTGCCACTCCACCAATTTTTTAATTCTTTTTGCACTTGAAGTTCAGGCCTTAGTTTATTCTTTCTTCTTGTTAGGATTTTATCGTAAGTAAAAAAAGGGAAAACTGAGCAACTGAGACGGGAAAGAGTTTTTATTCAGAGTGTAAACAAAACCATATATTTTTTAAATTCAGGTGGGCAAGGGTGGAAAGGAAAGGCAGAAAGATCTTTGTTAAAGATTCGATACCCTCAACTCCTTCAGATAAGAGCTGAGGAAGTTCTCTAGCTTTCCAGGGAGTCTTCCAGCAAAACCACAATAGATGAGATGAGGCTAACGTTCTCGATATTTTCAGTGAAAAAACAAGCTGGAAAAAAACGTGCTGGCCTCCTCTATGCTTTTTAAATAAAACACAAAATAAAGGGTGCAAACCAATTTTGAAGGCCATGTTTGAGAGTAGGCATTATTGGTAAAGAGCAAAAACCTTTCTCTTCAGTAGTGGGAAAGGTGCCAGTATCTCTCCAAAAGGAAACTACTAGTCCTAGTCCAGTATCTCTCCAATAGGAAACTACTAGTCGAGGGTCAATAAATCATCCCATCACAGAGATTCTCACCAATCACCACCTTGTCTCTACTAGTTTTTGGTGTATGATGAGAGGTACAAGTGTGAGGAAATTCTGTCATTAGCTGACCCTTTTCAGTCTGGCTTTAGAACTGGGAACAAAAACTGCCCGGGCCTCCTGTGTGGAGAACCATTATGAAAATATCCATTGTAGCTGTGGCAGTTGCCTCTACTGTAAGCCACACAGAGGTGCTACAATTCCTGTCTAGGTAGATGGAGTTGCACTCCAGGTGCTCTTGGATTCCCATGTAGCAGCAGAAACCATGTCTATCTCCAACAACCAAAACCATCTTTTCTTGGCAAAGAGGTAACAGCATTTCCTTTAGACGTGGCTCTCAATTAGCCAGGCCTCTGTCACCTCCAGACTGAATTATTGCAACATTCTCAATCTCTGTAGCAATCTAATCATGAAGCCTTCTCAGACACCTCAGCTAGTGCAGTACATGGCTGCTTGCTTACTCAGTGGTGTTTCATTTATGTAGCATGTTACACCTGTGCACCATAATCTGCACTGACCTTCATTTTTGGGTACAATTTAAAATGCTGGTCCTCATCTACAAAGACCTTTATGGTTTGGGTCCCGTCTACACTAGACATTGCACCTCTCCTTATTCACCATCCTGGCAGTTGAGATCAGCTTGATTAGCTAGGGTTTGTCTGTAAGAGCAAAGTTTTGTATATCAGGCAGCTGGGAATACCTAACAGAAGGCTCTTGATTCTGGACTATGCTTCCCTTGTTGGTCCAAGAGAGCCCCAGGTTTAATGACATTCAGGTCACAGTGCAAGGATTACTATTGCTTAGGCTTTGGCATGGTGGTCCACAGCTATGGGACTTGAAGCATGAATTAATTCAAGGAAATCCTGTGGCCTGTGTTACACATGAGGTCAGAAGAAATGAACACAGTGGCCTTAAAAATCTGTGAACCTGTGAAAGTCTGTTGTCAGCTCAGCAATCACTCTAGAAGTTTTAGATGGAAATCTGTTTGGGGACAGGAGCTCTTATTCCTATGTTTGTACAGTGTGTAGCGCAATGGAGCCCTGACGTGCCTGAGTCTCAAGACACTACAGTGATATAAATGTTAATAATATGCTTACTGTTCACATTAGGTCTCTCCATCCTGTGAGTAACTTGCACCATTGCTGCAGCATCCCCATCAGCACAATCAATAGTGAGAGTGCTAATCTAAACAAGCCACTGGCTCTGTGTGTGTGCGCATGTGCTCTGTGATAAATAAATCTTCAAGATTCTGACACTCTAGTCAAATCGTTGGCTGGATTCTCAGTATGTGTTCATTTTAGAGTTTACAGTCTGCAATTAGCTATTAGCAGCGTGTCAATTTCAGTAGTCTGTTAGGGCACTAAATTGATGTCTTATTTCTCTTATACATGCAGAGAAACATGTCCCTTGTGCCATAGAAAATATATTTTTATGCTACTAAAACAGGAGTTGACAGCCTAAATCCATCATCCTTTCCCAGTTCTTCTGCCATCTCTCCAACCCCAAGTTATTATTTAGGTGTAATACTTGGCTTGCTGAGAACTACTCCTCATTTGACCATTCCTTTTCAGTAGGAACAGATGTGCTGCAAGCACCACGGCCAAGATTAAGATGAACAGGCATAGTAGTAACCTGTGCTGCTGCTTTTATCTCTTCTCCCCCCCCCCCCCAACCCCTCAAAAAAGTTATTTAAGCCTGTTCAACCTCCCTTGGTGCAGAGGAATTGACATTTCTCATCTGGTAATTACTGTCCCTTGTACACTTGGTTGTCATACAAAAATAGGATCTGCGACTTGGCTACATGTTGGGATGGTTTGGAAGTGCACATTTAGATTTTTTTTTTTTTTTTTTAAAGTGAACTGAAAAAACTTCATTTTTTCCTCTTCTAGTACAGATGTTTGCAACTGTAATTTTGCATCATACTGTAGTCTCCTAATTCAGAAATAGCCATGCATACACACACGCTCCCCAAATAACTTTCTAGATTGCCCCACGTTCTTTTTGGAGAGTGTTCCTTCCTTCCCTCCAGCCTCCCGGAATTAACTATTTTCTGCCCAGAAACCTTTTTGCGTTCTTTTTTTATATTATTTTGATCTTTACAGTTTGCATAAGGCTAAAGTGAGACTTTCTCCAGTGTGGCTATAATTGCAATACACATGTCTACTGGTTTAAAAACTCAGGACTGATTGGGAGTTGGATGACTTGGGTTCTACTCCTAAATCTGACACTGACTCCAGTTTGAAATGTTGTGCAAGCCATGTAAATGTCTCTATACCTCCCCTTTATGAAAAGGAGGCATCCTTTTACCTGATTTTCTGTGGACTCATGACCATGTAAAGCATTTTGAAAACCTTGGGTGGATGGTGCTATGGAAATGCAGTCTTAAATTATTTTCATTCATCTCTTATGCTCAACTTTTTTTCAAATATGCATTGTTGGAGCGAGAGTTGGCTTAACCCCCCCCCCAATTAATATAAGAAATAAGGAGAGAAACTAGAGAAGTGATAGTAGTGGTTTAGGCATATTGCTTATCTGAGACTTACCATTTCTGATGCTGATTCTCCTAATGCTTTCACCACTGTAAATCAGAAGTAATTATAGTGAACCCAATGGAATTACACTGGTGTGAGAGGAGAATTGGGCTCATCATTGAAACCTAAAGCTAGAAACATACTTTCTAAATGCGCCCAAACCTAGCTAGTCTTTCTTCATGCATCAATATTTTTTTTAAAACTTGTTAGGAATGAAAACCTCCTGTAAGGATTTGAGGGGAAAGGAGAAGGTGAGCGTATAGATTGTTCCTATGGGAACACTCACATCAGAGGGAAGAGTTAAGGTTGTCTGCGTGTAACTTTAGTGACTCTCCATTCCCTTAGCAAGTCAACCCTACTCAACCACAATGTGTGTTTTAAATGTCTTTTGGGTATGTATTTGATAGGGTGATGTGTGCAGCTCTTATGCTGTACTTCCTAGGTTTTGTGGTTTTGTCTTATGTTACTGTCCCTTAGCAACCTTAACTGACTTTCAAGATGTGTGTATTTGAATAACATACTTGGTTACACTTGTATGATTCCAGTTACATGAGTGGGATTGTACATGTCTAACTGAGAGTGGCATTTGGTGCTTATTCTGGCTTTTCTTCATCCTATAGGAACCATTTTTTCTCATTTCTTCTTTATTAGAATAGAAATTGCAAACACATCTGCAGGGAACCTGGGGATTGCTGTTTCTGTGAAAATGCTGAACCAGCACTACCATTTAAAGGGGAGGGAATCTGCTTCTAGCTTCAGTTAAACACACTTAAGCTTTTGTTTTATGATTATTTATGTAATTTTTTCCCCTCTTCTCTTTATTCCTAGCCATGTCTCAGGCTGTGCAGACCAATGGAACTCAACCTTTAAGCAAAACATGGGAGCTCAGTTTATATGAATTACAGAGAACACCTCAGGTAATACAGGTTAAGAAGCTTATTTCGTGCAAGGCACTGCCATAAAAATAGAGGTGTAATACCTTTCTTATATAAATCATAGGACAGTTTAATTTTAAGTATTTTTTGTAAGATGCTTAGTAAAATCTCTAATTTCCTATTTAAAATTGTAACACATTGAAAAACAAAACATAAACAATCCCACATAGTTACAAATATAAAATTATGTAGCTTGCTTTTATTTTAAAGTGTTTTCTACAGTTTAGTGTATCTCTAATAATTTTCTTACAAAGATTACATTATTTCTATGTAAATAACTCCATTAATATGATTTCACTTTAATATTTGACCATTAGGAAGCAATAACTGATGGCCTGGAAATAGTGGTGTCACCTAGAAGCCTGCACAGTGAACTGATGTGTCCCATTTGTTTGGATATGTTGAAAAACACCATGACAACAAAGGAATGCTTGCATCGTTTCTGTGCTGACTGTATCATTACAGCTCTCAGGAGTGGGTATGTAAGAAATAATGTATACCTAAGAATCCTACCTTATTGCAGGGTGAGGGGGATGGTGGTCAAGAATCAAAATGATACAATGAGGCCCCTTTGAAGCCCTATGTGTTCAAAGATACGCAAACACACCACTACTAGATTGCAAGGAACCAAAGAACATTGCATCCAGTACCTAAAGTGGGTACTCCAATGTTATTTCACTGTTTCAATGTTTGTTCTCTTGAGGCGGTCCAGGTGTTGGGAGGAAGTATGCCCATTCCTTTGTATACACCAATGTAGAAAAACTAAATTATTGTTTAAGGAACAGAAAAAAAGCTAGCTAGGTCTAGTCACAACGAATTGTACCACAAGAATGAACTAAACTGTCTCAGTGGAATCTTACCAAATGAATATGTAAATGTATAGAGTACAAGATTCCCTAATGTATGGAACATGTATTTATTTTGTATTTAAAACAAATCCTAATTGATAACTATTCTTGACTATTTAAATTTAAAAGAATTTGCAATTGCCATTCTTTTTATCATTAATTCAATGATACAAATATCAAACCTATGAGAATAACAATGACAGTATGATAATCATAATGACCTGTGTAGAGATGTCACATTTGATCCCCTTACTATTTTATTTGTGCCTTAGTTTAATCAGAACTCCAGTGATTAAGCCAGATATGTGTTTTTTCAACCTTTTTTCATTTGCGGACCCCTAAAAATTTTTGAATAGAGGTGTGGACCCCCTTGGAAATCTGAGATATAGTCCACAGACCCCCACGGATCCATGGACCACAGGTTTAAAACTGCTGAGCTAAAGAAAATAGATGTCTTGGGGGAATTTGGGCAATGCTGAACTCCTCTGCAAAAATTAACCCTCCTGTCTTGGACAAGAAAAATTATGCATGTGTAAATAGATTGTTTTAATTTCATGTCCTGCAAAACGATTCCTATGTGTCGTGAAATAGAAACAAAAAATTTGTCAAGGGATATTTTCATTCATTATTGAATGAACTGGAACATGCAATAGAAGATGGTACACCTCTACCTCGATATAACGCTGTCCTTGGGAGCCAAAAAATCTTACCGCGTTATAGGTGAAACCACGTTATATCGAACTTGCTTTGATCCACCGGAGTGCGCAGCCCCGCCCCGCCCCCCCCGGAGCACTGCTTTACTGCGTTATATCAGAATTCGTGTTATATCGGGTAGCGTTATATCGAGGTAGAGGTGTATATTGGTCTTCATTGTGTAATTTAATTAGAAGTTAGAGTAGTAAGAATGTCAATGAATGAAAACTGTCTGACACAAATATGGTCGCCACCATGGAGCTCTTGCTTTCATTAGGGGGATGAAGTGTTCTTAATGTGAATTAACCAAGTCTACGTAAAATCCTAATGAAGAAAAGGCAGTTGGTAGTTTTCACATGATTTAGCGGGTCAAGCTAAAGAGTAGGATTCTTCATAGTTTTTAACTTGATTTACTAACTTGGGTGAAAGCTATGAACTGTCTTGTCTTGACTAGGATGCTAACTTGAGTTAAAAGTATCTTTTTTACATTAATTAAGACACAATTTGAGAGGCAAAGGGAAAGAACATGTCTGCAAAGAAAAGCAAGACACTTGAATCCTTAAATGTAAATATAAGCTGTGATCACTGCAGACTTCTCAGTAAGAATAAAAACTAACTCTCACTCAGGGGAGGGAGTGTAATAACTACTGTTAAAGACTTAGGCAGAGGGGTCTATTCCTAGAAGATACTAAGAGAATGTTGGCTCTACAGTAAATGTCATAGGGAAAACATAGGAGAATAGGAATTGAGAGGACTTGCAGCCAGAGCTAACAGGGGATAGACCGGAGAATCACACCATCACCAGGAAAAGGCAGGTCTACATGATTGGGGACTCCTTACTGAGAAGAATAGACAGGCCTGTAACCAGAGCTGATCCAGGCAACAGAAGGGAGTGCTGTCTGCCGGGTGCTAAGATACGGGATATGGACCTGAGGCTGAAGAGGATCCTAATGGGAGTGGGAAAGAATCCACTGATTGTCCTTCATGTGGGAACAAATGATACGGCTAGATTCTCGCTGGAATGTATCAAGGGAGACTATGCCAGGCTGGGGAAGACGCTTAAGGAAATTGAGGCTCAGGTGATCGTCAGTGGGATTCTGTCTGTTCCTAGAGAAGGGCAACAAAGGTGTGACAAGATTAGGACAATCAACAGATGTCTCAGGCAGTGGTGCTATAAGGAGGGCTTTGGGATGTATGGCCACTGGGAAGCATTCATGGACAGAGGACTGTTCTCTTGGGATGGACTTCACCTGAGTAGGGAGGGAAATAGACTTCTAGGATGGAGGCTGGCACAACTGATTAAGAGAGCTTTAAACTAGGAATTTGGGGGAGATGGTTGGGAGATGTCCAGGTAATCTCCATGCTGGATTTTAACATTGAGAGGGAAGAAAACGAAGTAAGAAAGGATACAGCTGTGAGCAGGAGAATGGACATAAGGAGGAAGGGTAGTGTAGATACCATTCTAATAGGTGATACTGACGGTAGAATGTCTGTGCCTAATCGGGTAAAGAATGTGAGCGAAGGCAAACAGCAAAAATTAAGATGTTTGTACACCAATGCGAGGAGCCTAGGTTACAAAATGGAGGAACTAGAGTTACTGGTGCAGGAAGTGAAACCAGATATTATAGGGATAACAGAAACATGGTGGAATAGTAGTCATGCTGGAGTATAGGTATTGAAGGGTATGTGCTGTTTAGAAAAGACAGAGATAAAGGCAAAGGTGGTGGAGTAGCATTGTATATCAATGATGAGGTAGACTGTAAAGAAATAAGAAGTGATGGAATGGATAAGACAGAGTCTGTCTGGGCAAAAATCACATTGGGGAAGAAATCTACTAGAGCCTCCCCTGGGATAGTGCTTGGGGTGTGCTGTAGACCACCGGGATCTGATTTGGATATGGATGGGGACCTCTTTAATGTTTTTAATGAAGTAAATACTAATGGGAATTGTGTGATCATGGGAGACTTTAACTTCCCAGATATAAACTGGAGGACAAGTGCTAGTAATAATAATAGGGCTCAGATTTTCCTGGATGCGATAGCTGATGGATTCCTTCACCAAGTAGTTGCTGAACCAACAAGAGGGGATGCCATTTTAGATTTGGTTTTGGTGAGTAGTGAGGACCTCATCGAATAAATGGTTGTAGGGGACAACCTTGGTTTGAGCGATCATGAGCTAATTCAGTTCAATGGAAGGATAAACAAAAATAGATCTGTGACTAGGGTTTTTGATTTCAAAAGGGCCAACTTTAAAAAATTAAGGAAATTAGTTAGGGAAGTGGATTGGACTGAAGAACTTGTGGATCTAAAGGCAGAGGAGGCCTGGAATTACTTCAAGTCAAAGTTGCAGAAACTATCAGAAGCCTGCATCCAAGAAGGGGGAAAAAATTCACAGGCAGGAGTTGTAGACAAAGCTGGATGAGCAAGCATCTCAGAGAGGTCATTAAGAAAAAGCAGAAAGCCTACAAGGAATGGAAGATGGGAGGGATCAGCAAGGAAAGCTACCTTATTGAGGTCAGAACATGTAGGTATAAAGTGAGAAAGGCCAAAAGCCATGTAGAGTTGGACCGTGCAAAGGGAATTAAAACCAATAGTAAAAGGTTCTATAGCCATATAAATAAGAAAAAAACAAAGAAAGAAGAAGTGGGACCACTAAACACTGAGCATGGAGCGGGGGTCAAGGATAATCTACGCATGGCTCAATATCTAAACAAATATTTTGCCTGAGTCTTTAATGAGACAAATGAGGAGCTTAGGGATAATGGTAGGATGACAAATGGGAATGAGGATATGGAGGTAGATATTGTGATGGGTTGGATCACAGAAACCCCCTTGGGGCTGCCAACTGATGTGCCAAGACTACTTCTGCCCCTATTTCCCCTGCCAGCTTGGGACTCCAGCACCCTGTCTTGTTGAGCCAGATACGCCAGTTTGCTCCGACACAGACCCAGGGTCTGAACCACGTGCCCCAAAGCTGCGGACTTAACTGAAAGCAACTTAAGAAGTGTTCCTGTCTTTAACACTCAGATGCCCAACTCCCAATGGGGTCCAAACCCCGAATAAATCCGTTTTACCTTGTATAAAGCTTATACAGGGTAAACTCATAAATTGTTCGTCCTCTATAACACTGATAGAGAGAGATGCACAGCTGTTTGCCCACCCAGGTATTAATATATACTCTGGGTTAATTAATAAGTAAAAAAGTGATTTTATTAAATACAGAAAGTAGGATTTAAGTGGTTCCAAGTAATAGCAGAAAGAACAAAGTGAATTACCAAGCAAAATAAAATAGAACACGCAAGTCTGTGTCTAAGAAAACTAAATACAGATAAAAACCTCACCCAGTAAGCTTCCTTTTACAGACTAGTCTCCTTCTAGTCTGGGTCCAGCAATCACTCACATCCCTTGTAGATACTGTCCTTTGTTCCAGTTTCTTTCAGGTATCCTGGAGGGTGGAGAGGCTCTCTTTAGCCAGCTGAAGACAAAATGGAGGGGTCTCCCACAGGCTTAAATAGACTTTCTCTTGTGAGTGGAGACCCCCTCCTCTCTCCTATGCAAAGTCCAGCTCCAAGATGGAGTTTTGGAGTCACATGGGCAAGTCACATGTCCATGCATGACTCAGTTTTTACAGGCAGCAGCCATTGCTTACCTGCTACCTTGAAGGTCCTCATGTAGACTTCTTATGTGGATTGGAGCCTTCCAAGATCCATTGTCACTTAAGTGCTTCGTGATTGGGCACTTAATTTGCACATTCCTTTCTCAAGAAGCTGACCAAATGCTTTACAAAGGCTACTTAAAAATCAAGCCAGTACACAGCCAATATTCATAACTTCGAATACAAAAATTATACATGCATACAAATAGGATTAATAGATTCAGTAGATCATAACCTTTACAGAGAGATATTAAATGGCATATGTAGCATAAAACATATTCTAGTTATGTCATATATACATTCATAAGCATATTTCCATAAAGCCTTATGGGGGGCACCGTCACAGATATTACCACATCCGAGGTAGAAGCCAAACTCAAACAGCTTAATGGGACTAAATCGGGGGGCCCAGATAATCTTCATCCAAGAATATTAAAGGAACTGGCACATGAAATTGCAAGCCCATTAGCAAGAATTTTTAATGAATCTGTAAATTCAGGGGTTGTACCGTATGACTGGAGAATTGCTAACATATTTCCTACTTTTAAGAAAGGGGAAAAAAAAGTGATCCGGGTAACTATAGGCCTGTTAGTTTGACATCTGTAGTATGCAAGGTCTTGGAAAAAATTTTGAAGGAGAAAGTAGTTAAGGACATTGAGGTCAATGGTAATTGGGACAAAATACAACATGGTTTTACAAAAGGTAGATCGTACCAAACCAACCTGATCTCCTTCTTTGAGAAGGTAACAGATTTCTTAGACGAAGGAAATGCAGTGGATCTAATTTACCTCGATTTCAGTAAGGCATTTGATAGGGTTCCACATGGGGAATTACTAGCTAAATTGGAAAAGATGGGGATCAATATGAAAATTGAAAGATGGATAAGGAACTGGTTAAAGGGGAGACTACAACAGGTCATACTGAAAGGCGAACTGTCAGGCTGGAGGGAGGTTACTAATGGATCAGGGATCAGTTTTGGGACCAATCTTATTTAATCTTTTTATTACTGACCTTGGCATAAAAAGTGGGAATGTGCTAATAAAGTTTGTGGATGACACAAAGCTGGGAGGTATTGCTAATACAGAAAAGGACTGGGATATCATACAGGAAGATCTGGATGACCTTGTAAACTGGAGTAATAGTAATAGGATGAAATTTAATAGTGAAAAGTGCAAGGTCATGCATTTAGGGATTAATAACAAGAATTTTTTTATAAGCTGGGGATGCATCAGTTGGAAGTAACAGAGGAGGAGAAGGACCTTGGAGTATTTGTTGGTCACAGGATGACACTGAGCCGCCAATGTGATATTGCCGTGAAAAAAGCTAATGCGGTCTTGGGATGCATCAGGCGAGGTATTTCCAGTAGAGATAAGGAGGTGTTAGTACCGTTATACAAGGCACTGGTGAGACCTCATCTGGAATACTGTGTTCAGTTCTGGTCTCCCATGTTTAAGAAGGATGAATTCAAACTGGAACAGGTACAGAGAAGGGCTACTAGGAATGGAAAACCTGTCTTATGAAAGGAGACTCAAAGAGCTTGGCTTGTTTAGCCTAACCAAAAGAAGGCTGAGGGGAGATATGATTGCTCTCTATAAATATATCAGAGGGATATACCAGAGAGGGAGAGGAATTATTTAAGATCAGTACCAATTTGGACACAAGAACAAATGGATATAAACTGGTCATCAGGAAGTTTAGACTTGAAATTAGATGAAGGTTGCTAACCATCAGAGGAGTGAAGTTCTGGAACAGCCTTCCAAGGGGAGCAGTGGGGGCAAAAGACATATCTGGCTTCAAGACTAAGCTTGATAAGTTTATAGAGGGGATGGTATGATGGGATAGCCTAATTTTGGCAATTAATTGATCTTTGACTATTAGCAGTAAATATGTTCAATGGCCTATGAAGGGATGTCAGATGGAGTGGGATCTGAGTTACTACAGAGAATTCTTTCCTAGGTGTCTGGCTGGTGAGTCTTGCCCACATGCTCAGGGTTTAGCTGATCACCATATTTGGGGTCGGGAAGGAATTTTCCTCCAGGGCAGATTGGCAGAGGCCCTGGGGGTTTTTCGCCTTCCTCTGCAGCGTGGGGCATGAGTCACTTGCTGGAGGATTCTCTGCACCTTGAAGTCTTTAAACCATGATTTGAGGACTTCAGTAGCTCAGACATAGGTTAGGGGTTTGATACAGGAGTGGGTGAGTGAGATTCTGTGCTGCGTTGTGCAGGAGGTCAGACTAGACGATCATAATGGTCCCTTCTGACCTTAAAGTCTGTGATTCTATGAACTGCATCATGACAGGAAACTCTGGATTACAGCCATGAAGAGCATTCATTGTCACCTTTCTTTTTTGTTGGTTTAGAAACAAAGAGTGTCCCACATGTCGTAAAAAGCTTGTTTCTAAAAGATCACTGAGACCAGATCCGAATTTTGATGCCCTCATCAGTAAAATTTACCCAAGTCGTGATGAATATGAGGCTCATCAAGAGAGAGTTCTAGCAAGGATCAGTAAGCACAATAACCAGCAAGCTCTGAGCCACAGCATTGAGGAAGGATTAAAGATTCAAGCAATGAACAGGTATGGGGCTCTGAAGGTGGGTTGTTTGTGTTATTGTAACATTAACTTAAAAATCAAAGCAAACGAAACCATAAAAACTTTGAGTGCTTGCTCATGTCGATTCCATTCTAGATGTGCGCACGCCCATGTGTGCAGCCATCGGAGATTTGTGCCTCAGCGGTATCCGTAGGGTCGGCTGTAGTGTCCTCTGGAGTGCCGCACCCATGCGTCGGTATACTAGGTGCTGCTGGCCCTACGCCCTCTCAGTTCCTTCTTACCGCCCATGGTGGTTAGTTGCAGCGCCTTTCCCTTGCCTCGCAAGGGCTAGTGGTTCTTCTACTTCAGTCTTCAAGCCTTAAGGCTTTGTAAATAGCTTGTTTACAGTCATTAGTTAATAAGTAGTTGTTAAGTAGTGTAGTTAGAGATAGAATCCCAGCAGGGACTTCGCCCCAGGTGGGACATGCCCCGATCTCCGGGTTTTAAGCCCTGCTCTAACTGTAACAGGCCTATGCCTGTTAGCGAACCCCATAGCAGCTGCCTCAAATGCTGGGGGAATCACATGTGAAGGAGAAGTGTCGCATCTGTAAGAACTTTCGTCCCACAACTCAGAAAGAGCGAGACATCTGTTTGAGGGCCCTCCTCCTGGAGGCTGTTCTCTGCCTGGCGTCCAAGCCTTCCTGGCCAGACTCTGCCCCGAGCACCTCAGCCTTGGTGCACAGCGCACCTCCGGCACCAGTATCTAAGAGGAGGTTAAAGAAGTGACTCCCTGGCACCAAGCAAGAAGGGCAAAGGACCCAATTCGGGCCAACAGCCCACACCAGAGCCACATAGATATGCCCCCCCCCCCCCCGATGGGGCCCTCTAGCCTGCACAGGGATCTGCCACTGATTCCAGGAGGTGGTAAGGAACCCAGACTGGTGGCAGTGACTATGCCTTTCCGGCGCATAGAGCGCAGAGGCCTCTACCAACACCTCCAGCACTGTGGGTGTCGCAGGTCATGGCAAAGGCTTCCAGTGAGGGCAAGCCAGCCGTAAAGACCCCCAAGAGGGCGGGCGAACGACTCCGGTCTCTGGAGATGAGACGGCGCTCTCTGTCTTTGTGCCCCAGGTATCTGTCTTCTGTGGGACATTCTACGTTGCCAGCACCATGCTCATGGTCTCCTCCCTCTCGACGCACGTCGCCTAGAAGAAGGCACCAGTCACTGTATTGCCGGCACCAATCATCCACCCGCCGGCTGTCTCCTCGCCACTGATCCCCACGGTGGGAGCAGTCTCCGTCACGGTACCGATTCTCCCTCCCCCCCCCCCCCCCCCCCCCACCACTGATCCTCCTACTCGAGGCACCGGTCTCCTGCGGCAGTGGTTAGCCGTGAGATGCAAGCTTCAATGGCCCTTCCGTGATCACCGGAAAGTGATTCCTCTGGTTTCAGAAATGGAATTCAGTCCTTCACCACGACTTCCCCGGTGCGCGTTGGCACCTGAGGCTGCGTCGACCTCTGCGATGCCATCATGGCAGCAAGGCCAATGGCCAGCACAATGGCCCTACTGGAGCACATGGGGCATGCCTGTGATGCTGATGCCTCAGTCAGTCCATTCCTCAGCGACCGTCTCAGAGCAACAACCACCGGCACTGGCAGCACCAAGCTCGGTGCGTGAGGCACAGTCGGAGGCCGGGGTAGAGGAGCAAGTGCTTACCCCGAAACCCTCTTTCCTCGCGGGGGATGATCCCTCAGGGCCTCCCCCAGGGACCCAGTCGTCATCTTCATCCCTGGATGAGGTGGTGGTGAGCCTCTCCTGCACCAGCCCGCCAAACAATTTCAAAGAACATCAGGGCCTGCTTCGTAGGGTGGCTACGAACTTAGGCTTGGAAGTGGAGGAGATGGCCAAACAGGCAGACACCCTGTTCAGTGTGCTCTCGGCTTCTACCCCCGTCCGTGTTGTGCTACCAGTACACGATGGGGTCCTAAAAATAGCAAAACCCTTTGGCAAATTCCTTCTTCCATCCCTCACACCTCCAAGAATGCTGAGGAAAAAGTATTTCCTCCCGGCCAAAGGGTTCGAATATTTGTATACCCACCCTCCTCCAGGCTCGCTGATCGTCTCGGTGGCCAACGAGAAGGACAGAGAAGGGCAAACCAGTTTGACCCTCAAGAATAAAGAGGCCAAGACACTGGACCTTTTTGGGAAAGATTTATTTGACGGCCAGCCTTCAATTCTGCGTGGCCAACCATCAGGCTCTCTTGGGGAAGTATAACTTCAACTTATGGGACTTCCTTCGTAAATTCAGGGACTCACTGCCCCAGGACTCAGCCCAGGAATTCGGGGCCCTGGTGGAGGAGAATATGACGGATGCAAGGTGCTCCATCCAAATAGCGTGGGACGTGGCCGATTCAGCAGCTACGGTGGTCGTGTTGGCGGTGGTCATGAGGAGCAGCTCCTGGCTTCAGACCACGGGCCTGTCCCAGGAGATGCAGGCCTCAATCCAGGATCTTTCCTTTGATGGGAATGGTCTCTTCGCAGGACAGACTGACCCGAGGCTGCATGGACTGAAGGATACTCGGCCATCCTTTGCTTGCTGAGTCTGCATATGCTGCAGTCGATGAGGAAGCAGTTCCAGCCACTCCCACTGCTAAGGCCTTGGCAGCCTCGACAGGGGCCTGCGAGGAGAAGGGATAGAGACACAAGATTTGGTCATCACCGCCTTTCCTTCTCCCACTTCCCTGTGCAATCCGGTCCATCGAAGCCTCTTGGGGTGAGAAGTGCTCATTTTTGAGGGTGAGCTCGAGAGTGATGCCCCAGTCAACTCCCTGGATCTGCCTTGTTCTTTCCTCAACCATCATTGTCCCTACAGTTTGGCCTGGTCATGGGTCACCTCAGACCATTGGGTGCTAGACATTGTATCTCAGGGCTACACCCTGCAATTCTCGGCTGCCTCCCGCCTTCCCTGTCCCTCTTCAGGGACCCGTCTCACAAGCAACTCCTCATTCAAGAGGTTGAGAACCTCATGCAACTGGGGGCAGTGGAGGAGGTCTCCTGGGATGTGAGGGGAAAAGGATTCTAACTCCTATTATTTCCTAACTCTGAAAGTGAAAGGGAGTCTAAGACCCATTCTGGACCTGCAGCGCCTCGACAAGTCGCTTAAAAACTTGGTTACACATGGTCTCCTTGGCCTTCATCATCCCCTCCCTGGATCTGGGAGACTGGTACGCCGCCCTCAATCTGAAGAATGCCTATTTCCATATCTGCATCTTCCAAGGTCACAGACAATTCCTCCGTTTTGTGGTGGGCGGGCGCCATTTCCAGTTCACGGCGCTGCCCTTTGGCCTCTCATCTGCCACGAGGGTGTTTACAAAATGTATAAAAACAACAAGGAGTCTGGTGGCACCTTAAAGACTAACAGATTTATTTGGGCATAAGCTTTTGTGGGTATCCGAAGAAGTGAGGTTTTTACCCACGAAAGCTTATGCCCAAATAAATCTGTTAGTCTTTAAGGTGCCACCAGACTCCTTGTTGTTTTTGTAGATACAGACTACCGCGGCTACCCCCTGATACTTTACAAAATGTATGGCACCAGTGGCTGCTTACCTCAGGCGCCGAGTGGTTCAGGTCTGCCCATATCTCAATTTGCTCATCAAGGGCAGATCTTGGGAACAGGTGCAGAGGAGCCTCCATCTGGTTCATTCCACCCACCGCAACCTGGGCCTATTGGTAAACAAAAAGAAATCGACCTTAAGGCTGGTGCAATGACTAGAGTTCATTGGGGCGGTTCTCGACTCCACACGAGCCAGAGCCTTCCTTCCGGAGGCGCGTTTCCAGGCTATGTCGGACCTGATCTTCCATATGAAAAACTACTCACTCACCACTGCTCACACCTGGGCCACATGGCTGCATGTACGTACGTGGTCCAGAATGCCCGGATCCATCTCCAGCCAAAGCAGGCGTGGTTGGCGTTGGTCTACATTCCCAATAGACATGCTCTAGACCAGGTGGTCAGGGTGCCGGTTCACATCCAATCATTCCTGGATTGGTGGTTGAGCCCCGAATCGGTGTTGGAGGAAGTTCCCTTCACGACCCCCAACCCTGGTTTCTGATGCCTTAGACCTGGGTTGGGGAACCCACCTGGGCAAGCTCAGCACACAGGCCAGTGCTCGTGGGACGATCTGTCCCTTCACATAAATATCAGAGAGCTCAAAGCAGTTTGCCTGGCCTGCCAGGCTTTCCTGCCCTACATGAAGGGCAAGGTGGTGCAGGTCCTGACAGACAATACCACAGTGATGTATTATATCAACAGGTAGGGTGGAGCTAGGTCATCAGCCCTTTGCCAAGAAGCTTTCCACCTGTAGGGCTTCTGTGTGCGGCATGCCGTCCATCTGGTGACCATGCATCTGCCCAGGGCCAAGAACGTGGTAGCGCATCGCCTTAGCAGGACCTTCTCGTCTCGCCATAAGTGGTTGATCTACCTGGAGGTGGTCAGTGTGATCTTCCAGAGGTGGGGACTCCCCAGGTGGATCTGTTCGCATCTCATCAGAACGGGAAATGTCACGTGTTCTGCTTGTTCTGGGGATTGGACAGGGGCTCCCTGTCAGACGCCTTTCTGTTCCCATGGTCGGGGGCTCTGATGTACTTCTTCCCACTGGTGCTGCTAATCCACAAGGTTCTTATGAAGGTCAAATAGGACAAGGTGAAGGTGATCCTGATTGCTGCCGAGGCCACACAGGAGCTCTAGGTCGGCATGCTGATGCACCTTTTGGTAGCTGCCCCACTGCAGCTACCTCTCTGGCTGGACCTGCTGTCCCAGAACCACCGCAGTCTTCTGCATTTGAACCTGGTGGCACTGCACTTGACAGCATGGCTTCTGCATGGCTAAATGCTGAGGAATGGGAATGCTCAGCCTGGGTCCAACAGGTCTTGTTGGGTAGCAGAAAGCCCTCCACCAGAGCAACCTACCTGGCCAAGTGGAAAAAGTTTGTGTGCTGGGCCTCAAACCGGGGTATTCGGGCTGAGCAGTCCTCGCTGCAGGCGATCCTGGACTATCTTCTGCAACTCAAGCTCCAGGCATTGTCCCTGTCATCGATCAAAGTCCACTTGGCCACTATTTCAGCCTTCCACTCTCCACTCCAGGGCAGGTTGGTCTTTGCTCATGACATGACGGTCCGGTTTTTGAAATGTGTGGAGCGTCTCTACCCACATGTCAGGGATCCCATCCCTCTCTGGGACCTGAATCTCATGTTGTTGTGGCTCATGGGTCCTCCCTTAGAGCCTCTATCTCCTGCCCCCTTCTCCTCCTCTTCTGGAAAGTTTCTTCCCTGGTTGCAATAATGTCCACCCGTAGGGTCTCTGAGATCAGGGCACTTACTTCAGAGCCACCCTATACAATGCTCTACAAGGACAAGGTCCAACTGCATCCGCATCCTACGTTCCTGCCGAAGGTAGTTTTACAGTTTCAAACCGGTCAAGACATATACTTACCTATCTAATTTCAAAAGCCTCATAAATTGTAAGAGGAGTGCAAATTGCATACCCTGGACATCAGGAGGGTGCTTGCCTTTTACATCAACAGGACCAAGCTGTTTTGTAAGTCAACATAGTTGTTTGTTGTGGTGGCAGACAGGATGAAAGATCGCCCAATGTCTGTGCAGAGGATTTCATCCTGGATCACAACCTGCATCCATTACTGCTATGACCTGGCAAAAGTGCCTCCACTGGTGTCTGCGACTGCCCACTCGACTTTGGCGCAGGCATCGTTTGCAGACTTCCCGGCCCAGGTGCCGATTCAGGATATCTTGCAGGGCCACTATCTGGTCATCTGTCCACCTGTTTACATTTCATACGCTCACCCAGTAAGCCTGAGACAATGCTAGCTTTGGTAGAGCTGTGTTGCAAGCTACACAGCCGTGAACTCCGAGCCTGCCACTAGGGATACTGCTTGTGAGTTACCTAGAATGGACATGACATGAGCAAGCACTCTAAGAAGAAAAAACAGTTACCTACCTTTTGTAATTGTTGTTCTTCGAGATGTGTTGCTCATGTTCATTCCATTACCCGCCCTCCTGCCCCTCTGTCGGAGTTGCCAGAAAGAAGGCACTGAGAGGGCGTATGGTTGGCAGCGCCTAATATACCAATGCATGGTATATTAAGAGGGTGCTACAGCTGACCTTACAGATACCACTGAGGCAAAAATCTCCTGCCATGCACGTGGGCTTGCACACACCTAGAATGGAATGGACATGAGCAACACCTCTTGAAGAACAACAGTTACGAAAGGTAGGTAAGCGTTTTTTCCAGATACTTTTTATCAGAGTCTTAAAAAAGTAAAATTTCCTACCTCTTGACCAGCAATTTGAGTTCCTGTATCACTTCCCAAACTCTCCATGACAGCCAAATATTAGGCTTCACCAACTAGTGATGGTATTGTGTGCAAAAGATGGACCTCAGTATCACAGTAAGAACCCAGGTTGCAAATCAGTAAAAGTATAGGCATCACAGTATTTTTACATGAACATACAGATTCTCAAATAATACAATACAGTGAAATCTGTATAAAGAATCACCCCTTTTGGGCAACCTTGTGTCTGAAGAAAACATCCCTAAGGACATCTATATGTTTTAGAATATAATTCTGCCCTGTGTTTATTGAAGGTTGCCCCTTCCCCAGTCACCTTGTCAATCTGCTAGTTTATCAGTTCTTTGATTGGTCCCGTAGAATGAAAAGCATGTCCTACCATAAGGTCTTTACAGTTTTTTAATAATATTGCATAATTTTGATAATATTTTGTCTTGCAAAATTATACTTGACCTGGGATAAGGGATTTTGTTCTGGTTGGATAAGTAAAATCTCATTAGTAGGGATTTTTGTTTTTGGTTGTCTATTGTCATGGGCGACGGGGGTGAACAGGCAAATAGATCTTGCATTTGGACTGGGACATTTTAATGACAATTTATTTTGGAAGGCTGAAAGGCATATATAGAATTTCTCAGCTTGCTGTAGCGCTATATTTAAGCCTAAAAGAGAAACAATTTGTATAAATAAATTATAGAATAAAATGTGCTTGAAACTCACACTGGTGGTACAGATATTATTACTCTTTCACAGTGCTCAAAGTAACTAATATGGTGGCATACATATGGGATTATATTTAGATAAAAGAATTAAGAACAGGGTGGCATAAACAATTGTAGCTCATTAATATTTTGCCAATGCATTATTAAATCTAATACAATTAAATATGTAATGTTTGGAAACCTAGTATACAGTGTCCTTTACAGGTTGCTCAGTTTTCCAATCTGTCGTGGATGGGAAGGTGCAAATGCACTATTCTGATATATAACAATTTTACCTAAAAGGTGTGTGTTGCGAGGAAACATAGTAATGTAGAGAAAAGAACCTGCAGTCTTGTGTGAAAATAATTATTGACCTGTGTTGCCAAAGGCCTTCTGCTACAATAAATTTTTGGAAAAATATAAGCTATTAAACTGTATGGGATATTTCTATAAGAATCTATTTAAGAATTTATACTTTTTAAAACAAAGTTTTTCATGTGTACAATATGCGTGCAAAGAAAAGAAAATCCTTTTTATAGCTTCAGTGCCAGAACAAAATATTTAAGCATAGTTGCTTTATGGAAAAGAATGTTACAAAAATTCATTGTTGTTGAACATATAACTGATAATTGCTATGAAATGTTGGTGCCTTTAAATATGCTTACTATAACACCCTCTGTGTGTGACTGATTATAGACAATTGAAAAAAATTGTTTGAGAGATACAGTGTGAGCCAGCATGTGAAAATTTAAAGAAATTTGATTAATTCTGAATGCTGAGTAGCTGCTGAGGAAATCACTTTTATTTACATATATCTTTAAACAGGCTACAACGAGGCAAGAAACAACAGATTGAGAATGGCAGTGGAGCAGAGGATAATGGTGACAGTTCACACTGTAGCAATGCTTCAACACACAGCAACCAGGAAGCGGGGCCTAGTAACAAAAGAACCAAAACATCAGATGATTCTGGGCTAGAATTGGACAATAACAATACAACTGTGGCAATAGACCCAGTAATGGACGGTGCTAGTGAAATAGAGCTAGTCTTCCGGCCCCATCCTACACTCATGGAGAATGATGACAGTGCACAGACCAGGTAAGTATCTTCAACATCTATTAATAATTTTCTTACTGTTACTTAATATGTTGTTTCTTCAGGCTTTTTGAAATCAAAAGTAGACATTTCTTCTCTAGTTACACCTTGTCCTGTTGAACTGAATGCACTTTCTCCATAGGGTAGCCAATTATTTTTGTTCATATTTTATAGTATCATAGTCTGTTTTAACCCTTTGATTGCAGAAAAAGTTCCTAACAGTTAAGAACACACCTCTGTTCTTGGTTGAAAGCATTTTAAGACCGCAAATGATTTTAGATTCCAGTCCCTCCTCACTCCTTTTGAAAATATGTATATAAAAATAAGCCTTATGTAAGCGTTAGAGCGTAACTGAATGGATCAACATGTGAATTCCTTTGTCTTTGGAAATTGGGAAAGAAGAGTGAAATTTTTCAAAAGTGGCTCAGGAGCACAAGTCCCATTAAAAGTGAATCTCACCCTAAATTCTGTGTAATCCTGTCTAGATCCATGCTCATAAATTCTGGTATCTGCAGTATGCAGGTTTGTACACCTCTACCTCGATATAATGCTGTCCTCGGGAGCCAAAAAATCTTACCGCATTATAGGTGAAACTGCATTATATCGAACTTGCTTTGATCCACCGGAGTGCGCAGCCTCCCCCCCTCCCCCCACCCGGAGCGCTGCTTTACCGCGTTATATCCGAATTTGTGTTATATCGGGTCACGTTATATCGGGGTAGAGGTGTATTTTTTTTCTAGAGTTTCCTGAAATATATGGAACCTTCTTTCTTATTCCTCTTCAGCACGAGAGCTTTCTCATGAGTTCTAGAAAATTACAACATCCCAGGCCATTCGGCACTTTTGAAAATCTCACTCTTCGGTTTAGATTTCCAGAGAACGAGGAGTCAATGAAGAGTAGCTAGGACAAGGAAAGAGGTCACAGAGCATGCCAAGTATCCAATTCTTGTCCATTGAATTGATGTCACACATCTCTGTTCAGAGGATTTGAGCACTCCAGAATATTTACTTTTTTTTAAAATGTCTCACATGATCAGTTAATTCAGGTAGATGACAAAGTAGTAATCTTTCCTATTCACAAGTAGAGTGGGAGCCTGTGGAAGAGGAGATTGAGAGAGGTGTGAGGACTTCTTTTCTTGTTCAGTAAATTGCTTCTTTTGTATCTTGAGAGGAAACTTTGAGGCACTCTGTACTCTTCACGTACAAGTTTGTTTACTTTTACATATGAAGCTTATCTAGTGCCTTTTTCTGCACAAGTGATTCAAATATGTTTGGTTGTCTTTGTTGCTACTGTTGCAGATATATAAAGACCTCAGGCAATGCCACAGTTGATCACTTATCTAAGTACCTAGCTGTGAGGTTGGCTTTGGAGGAACTTCGGAGCAAAGGAGAGTCAAACCAGATGAATCTTGACACAGCCAGTGAGAAGCAGTACACAATTTACATTGCTACGGCCAATGGCCAGTACACTGTGAGTAGTTGATCTGGTTGATACTCTATCTAATTTAGAAATGTTTAGACCCAACAATACTACAACTTGAAGGCATAATGGATTTGTTATCCTATTGTGATTGGTATGGATTCTGTCTATAAATTGGTCTATGGATTGTATTCATAATCCATTTTTAAAAGCATAGCACCAGCATTATTTGCTGTGACGTTTTAGGCAAAAGTCTGTTCTGTAGCGATTACATACAGCAAAAGCATTGATAGTAGAAAAGGAGTGGCATGTAAATGTGTGGATGCTCTGGGAACAATCCCCTGAGCTAGGGTAAATGGTGTGGTTCCATTGACATCACTGGGATTTTACCAATTTATGCCAGCTGAAGATATGGCTCTTTATTTTACAGGTAAAAATTTAGGAGGAAAAAAGTGGTACTTTGATTTGAGGACTTGCTTATTGAGAATGTCCTTCATTGCCCAACGGTGGTAGCACTTCCTAGCCAAATTCAGTCTGGCTTTTTATCAGTGCGAGGCACATCTATTGATATAAAGTCAAATTCACACACATGTAGTATTTCAGACAGGCAAACATTAAATGAGCACAATCCACAAAAATTCAGTCAAAATACAATACAGTAGTTAGCTAGATGAATACTCAGTATCACTAGTTATTTTAAATTCCTGCCAGTCTTACTAATTGAAGAAAGGTTTAGCGATTTTGCTGGTTAAAAAGTGAAATATATTGGACTTCAGCCCCAAGTTCCACCTCATCCCACCTCCCATTTGTAAAGCTGGGAGAGGGGCAGCAGCGCACATACTCTGGGGATGCCTCAATTTCCTTTCTAGGGCAAATCTGTAGTCACGTTTGAAAGATTTTTGAAAAAGATTTTCAGAGATTTTCAGGCATATTGGTGGATAATCCCCTGACTGATAACTGGGAGATGCATACTCTACTGCCAGGAGCACATGATATCATAAAGTTGCTCAAAAGCCACATTAGCAGAGGCCCAGCGAGGTGGCTGCAAGACTCCTGGTCCAGTGGGAAACAAAGGGTTTAATTGCAGATGATGCTTTCTGTAGCAGAACTCCCTGCTCATCCTATTGGAATGACCCAAGTTCACCTCTCCCACAGCCCCTTCATGCAGGTTCTTCCACAGGAAGAGGCAGCTTGGCTCACTGCATTTTAGCTTTTCATAAAGTCAGACAGTTGGTAGGGAAGCGGAGGCCTGACCTCAGGTCTTGGTGCATAAATTTTAAAGTGAAACTTCAAGCTTATTTCTTTGCTTTCAAGGTCCTGCATAGTTCTCTCCCTCCTTACTTATCTACCTATGTTGCTCTGCACATCATGCAGGCTTCCCCATCCATCAGTGATGCCAACCTCTACACATCATTTGTCTGTTTCTCCCCAAAACCCACCACCATACACCCAACACACCAAAAATTCATTGTTCCAGTAACAGTTTGGATATATCGTGATGACACAGTCATCCTCTGATCACTTTGCTGCTTGTTGATTCTCCTTGCCCCTGTCCTTGTCTATTTGTTTTTCTTGTTAGCATGCAAGCTCTTAGGAGACGAGATCATGATTTCTTGTGTTTGGAAAGCAACTAGCACATTGGTTGGTGCTACTGGGCGGGGGTGGGGTAGAAATACAACCCCTGCCAAAAAAGCATAATAAATGAAAGGGTGGTGATCAGTATAGTTAAGATCTAATCTGTATTGCTATGAACTAGCTAGCGAGGGGGACTAGTATTAGAATTGAGGCACTAGTCACTGGATTATAATGAGCAGATAAGCAACCAGAAACACTGATAACATATTTAATAACAGGAAATATCTATTAACTGCAGCCAGAACCACAGGAGACTTGTATTCTGTAAATGTTCCTCCCTAAGTCTACTGAAGGGTTTTCACAGTGACCAGATAGTAGTGACAGGACCATCAGAAGTTCATAGCGAGATGATGGAAAATATATTGTCAGAACTGTTGGTTTTTTTCTCCTCCTTTAGGTATTAAATGGTTCCTTTTCCTTGGAGCTGGTCAGTGAGAAGTACTGGAAAGTGAACAAACCCATGGAACTCTACTATGCACCAACAAAGGAACATAAATAGGCTTTGCGAGAAGGCTTGGAGAGAGGACTCTAACTTTTATAGCTATGATTTCTTTAATATTAAGGAGGCACCACCGTCATCTTCATGGACAGTACTTGGGATGTCTTCAGACTACTCACAGAGCCTACTTCTTCTTATAATTAGACAGTATTCTGAGTTTTATTTTTAATTTAATATTTTTTTCCAGGGGACTGAATAACCTTCTCCAGTGCATTCCATTGTTGTTATCAAAGATATGCTTTTTTTTTATTCCCAGCTTATGATATCAGATCAACAAAGATTCCAGCGTGGAATGTTTTAACTTAATCCAGGAAAAGCTGTTGGTCTGCTAATATGCTTGATACAATTATACCAGCCCTTAGGTGAAATATTGAAGGTCTAAAGTAGTCAATAGTAGTAGATGTTGTGGGGGTATGGTAATGGTGGTGATTTGCTAACTACTGTCACTATAAAAGATATTGAAGAATTCAATTCTGATAGCATACCATTTTGGCTTCAAGGTATTTACAGTAGTAATCTGATTCCTTGAAAGACTTGGATTATTGGTAATAGTCCAGGTAAGGTATAGTTTTCAGTAGACCAAGATGAAGGTTTAAGGGAAAAAGTTCTGACACTTTAAAAAATCTTGCTATCTGCTAGATTTCATTAATTTCAGTATCAGGAAAAAAATATTTAAAAAAAAAGGAAACCTTTTTTTTTCTGGGCAGAATATCACAGTCCCTGTGCACTCTCTAATTTCTGGTCTTTGACTCCTGTTGCAGAATTATCCTGTGCACATGTGCTTGGCAGATAACATTTATTGTACAAAATCTTCTCGGACAATTTAAAAGTCCTGGTATATCAAGTGTAATAGCACACTATTGTGGAAATATCATAGACTTTGCTGTAAAGGATTCTCTTTCTTGGAAATATAATTTTGCAACAAAAATCCCCTTTTAAAATTCCAGGATGATGGCATTGTGTTGCAGCAAGAGTATCTTATTTTATAGCACTCTATCCACACCAGTTGTGAGCTATAACTGTGGTTCATCACTGAGGGAAAGAACTGCTTCAACTACAAACTGTTCTAAGTATTCTGTTTTAGCCAAAGCTTTAACAAATATGGCTTAGCACTTTGGAAGAAAATGTGTTAGTACTTGACAGGTTTACCATTTAGTGTCTTACAATGGGTCTTTTTTTTTTTTTTTTTTAAACTTGGCAGGTGGCTGCTGTGTGAAGTTTTGCATTTACCGTTCAGCTGCATGTTAAACAGGTGGGTTTTTTTTTTTTTTTTTTTTTTTTTTTTTTTTTCTCTTTTTTTTAAAGGGGTGGTTTTTTTTTTTTTTTTTTTCTGGCGTGAACCCTGCACTCACCTAGTGGGGATGCTTTGCTGCAGCTAAAGAGAATTCTCAATGTTAGGGAAATGGCACAGTGATGTTCTCTTTGCTCTAAGGTTTTATCAGTACAGCCTTCCTGTCGCTGTAGTTTATAAGCTGAAAGTGAAAAGACCCTTAAAGCCGCTGAGGAATATTAAACTTTGTCTTCTCCCTTCTTGTCTTGCGCACAGTTAAGATGGATGAGTTTCTAAAGTATATGGAACTTGTACACTTTCAAATCCCTAGGTTTCTGTTGGGAAAGGAACAAGCTTTCCATTACTCCTTGTCATTCAAGTCTAACATTTGTAAATATATGTCCACTTTGACAGCTGTTTTGGGTCAGTTTCATCTCTATATGAAAAATTCATAGGTTTCTTGAATAACTTTTAATATTTCTTTTTGGTATCTAAAATGTTTTTACTACTCTTTTTGTAATCTGTGCCATGAAACTGACATTTCCAGTCACCAAGCATATTGGAGGGTGAGGGTTGATTTTCAAATGTTGTTTTATTCAGTATTACTTGGTGTAATGTTCAATTGTATAGATTACTAGTGCATGTCCACTAAATATAATCCTGTTTTTGTGATACTTAGATTTTATGGGGAAACTTCTAGGTTAGCTGCAGCAGAATGACAAATTCCCGGTATGATATCTAAGAATGTTTAAGGAGCAAAGGAGGTATTTGTGAAGCTGAGCTGTGTCTGTCTAGAGAATGTCTTTTTTTTGTCCGCAGTTTAAAAAAGTGTGGAAGAATGTGAAACTTATTTTCATGTCATAGTGAATTTACTGAATATTTATGTTCTTTAAAAATATATATTATGTAGGTGTTTGATTATACCATTGATGCACTGTGACTTTAGTGCTATAAACAATTTTACTTTTCAAAACAACTTTCATATTGTCTTCCTGTTGAGCTAGATCTTCATTTTTGGTACCTTGTGATTGTTAGGTATGGTAAATTGAACAGTTATAATATCTGAAACTAAAGTCATACCTAACGTCTCACATTTGTCACAATAAAGCAAAAATGCTGTGAACACAGTACTGGAAATTCAATCACTTCCTATTACAGTCTACAAAAGAAACCATTTGCATTATAAATCCACCAGTACAGTCTAGCACTGTCTAACAACACTATCATATCTGCAGTTTTCTAGATAGAGGGCTGGGAGATGCATCTGCTTTCTGGATACACGTGCCAACACCACACAGTGGAATCTGGTCCCTCAGTTTCTCCCCCCCCCCCCCACCCCAACTTGTAAGGCCTGATTTAAAGCCCATTGAAATCAGTTGAAAAATTCCCATTTACTTCAGTGGGTTTTGGATCAGGGGCTTAGAATGGGATGTACATGTGTAATAACACCAGCTAATGTCAAACTTTTTCAGTGGCTGCCATGGCATGTATAACAAGTTATTCTGTTGGGTGGGACACAGAATGATTGTCATGCAAACGGTGATATGAAAAGAAGACGGTTGGTTTGGTGTGCCCTACTTGGGAACCCCAGCAAAATCAGTTTTTATGCATGGTGATTTACGTGTGTGCTAATCACCTTCCCAACATAAATGGAGACAGAAGACTTGGAATATGCGAAGTAGGATCATAGCATTACATACTGAATGGGGTTGAACTTTTATAAAAATAAGCAGTGTCAATTTTTGCTAAGTTTTACAACGCAGCTATATTTGAGGATAAATGTATTGTAAGATACGTTGTTTTATCCACTTACCAGAAAAGTGGTATTTGATAAAGTCTAAGATGAAACTGTATTGTGCGCTTTAAGCCTCAGCCCTTCATTATAACACAACTGTAGTGCTGGATCAAACATTAAGCCATGATTATACTGAATATAAAACAATATCTCCCTCTCCTTATCCCCTCCATAGAAAAACATAATTAGGATTTCTCTTTCCTCCCACTGTTTAGGGTCAAGAAATGTTTAGGGCTCTTTTGATGAGGAGAAGAAAGGTCACACAACTTGTGGGATATAATGGTTTGCAGATGCTTTGTACTTTCAGCTGTCCTCCAACATACATTCCATGTTATTTAGGTGATTGTTTTTAAATTATCTATACGAACAATAAAAGTTGGATTTTTGGTAGGTATCTGTGCTGGGACCACATCTGGGATGGTCCAGATCCATTTCTGCAGTACTACTGCCTATCTAGTTATTCTCCATTTTGTATTTGTGCATTTGATTTTTCCTTCCAAAGTGTAGTATTTTACATTTGTATTTATTGAATTTCATCTTGTTGATTTCAGACCAATTCTCCAATTTAACAAGGTTATTTTGAATTCTAATCCTGCCCTCCAAAATGCTAGCAACCCCTTGCAGCTTGGTGTCATCTGCAGATTCTATAAGCAGACTCAGGGCAGACCCTTTGGGACCCCATTATTTATGTCCTCCCCGGTATGACAGTAAACTACTGATAACTACTCTTTGAGTACGATCTTTCAACTAGTTGTGCACCCATGTAAAGAGGGGCACGTGTCTCTCCCCTTCTGACAGGGCGGGAGGCCGCGCTGCCTTGCTGTTTCTCAAGCAGGTGCAGCTCCCAGCTAGTGAGTCCACCTAGTGATTAATCCAAGCAGCACCCCTCAACCAAGGCAGCAAGCAGTTAGCAGGCCTGGCCGACAATCAGCCCAGGCCTTAATTAGTCTCTCCGCCCCAGTCCCTCAATCAGGGCAATTCACAGTCTATAGCTCAGACTGAGTCCGTGCAATACAGCCCAGCAGTTCAGGGTGGGGAATTAGCTCTCAACTGGGAGTGACAGCAAATGCGCCTGGCGCCATAGCTTCGGCAGGCGCCAAACCAGTTCAGGCCTCCTGGCCTCTTAGTGGGGAGATGGCCATCCTCCATAGGTGGGGTGCCCAGGGTAGGGGGATGCAGGCCCTCCCACTTCACCGTGTCCCAGCCCAGGGCCTTATTAGTGGAGGGGTAGTTCGCCACTAGGTCAGTGGGGATCCACCTGCAAGATGCTGGCCAGTTCACAATAATTCCACAGCTGAACCTATTTGGTGTCCCTGGGTTCCTTCCTACCCTCCCCAGTTTGGGGCACCTGGTTTCTGGGGTCGTCCTCGGTCTCTCCGGGATAAACAGCCAATGGCAGCCCCAGCAGTTCGTCGGCGTTGCTGGGCTCCAGTAATTCAAGTAACTCCTCTGGTCAGGCAGTTGTCTCCTTCAGCTCTGGGCCCCGGCAGTAAGGAAGAGACGTCCTGCACCTCTGGCAGCTTTCCCCCTGAGCTTGGAGGCTGGCTTCTTATAGTCCAGCTTCCTGTCCTGCCCCTCTGCTTCTGGCGGGGTGGCCGCAGGTGGCCTAGTTCTGCCCACCAGGGGGCGCTCTCGGGTCTTTCCCCTTCTGACAGGGCAGGAGGCCGCACCTCCACGCTACAACCCACCTTATAGTAATTTCATTTAGCCAACATTTCTCTAGTTTGCTTAAGAGAATGTCACGTGGGACTGTGTCAAAAGCCTTACTAAAATCAAGATATCCTGTCTACAGGTTTCCCCCATCAATTAGACCAGTAACCCTATCAAAGAAGGAAATTAGTTTTGCATGATTTATTTTTGACAAATCCAATATTGGCATATATTTATAACCCTATTATTTTCTAGGAGCTTACAAATTGATTAATAATTTGTTCCAGGTATCACCATTAGATTGACTGGTCTATGGTTTCCCACGTCCTCTTTGTTCTCCTTTTTAAAGAAAGGTACTATGTTCTCCTTCTCTAGTCCTCTTGGACCTCACATATCCTCCATAAGTTTTCAAAGATAATTGCTAATGGTTCTGTGATTGCTTCAGCTACTTCAAGTACTCTAGTGTGAATTTCATCAGATCCTACCAACTTGAATACATTTTAACTTAGGCCAAGTCTACACTATTGCTTATGTCAGCAACATTTATGTTGCTCATAGGTGTTGCTCAGCTGTGCCACTGTAAGAGTGGTACAGCTGTGCTTCTAAGCTCACTAGTGTAGACATGACCTTATTCTTTAACCTGTTCTTTCTCTAGTTTGGCTTGGGTTTCTTCCCCCG